ATAGTCAGTTGGCATTCCTTACTCTTCATGACCTGTCTGTGGCCTTACACACTGTAGATCATCCTCTCCTCCTGGATTCTTTCTGCCCTCTCTGGGTTTTTATGCCACCACTCTCACTGCATTCTTCCTCTACCTACCTGATCATTCCTTCTCAGTCTCCTACTGGGTCTTCATCTATATCATGACCCCTACCTGTCACTGTTCCCCAAGGCTATGCCAAGGGCTTCTTATCTTTTCTCTACATGGTGACCTAAAAAGCCCCAAGGCTTGAATTATCTCTGTGCAGATGACTCCAAGATCTCAATAACCAGTCCTATTCACTCTCCTGAGCTCCAGCCCCACACTGCAAGCTGGATTTTAACTATCTCAAAGGTATCTCAAACTTAAAATGTCAAAGCAACTACCTCCTCATTTTTCTTATTCAGTAGATGTGACACATGGCTCCAGAGTCCTAAGATCTTTGCAGACCCTAATTCTCTCATCCAGCATATTGGTTCACCTTAGCCTTAATCCAATGCACTGGGGTTTGGGTTGTTCCTCTTGGCTCAGCTTCCCACATTAGGCAGCATTCTGCAAGAAGCCTCAAGATAAGCTCAAAGATACAGGAGAAGGTAGAGATGGGGCAGCACTTTAGAAGATATACTTGTGAGGAAATGCAGAGACCAGAGGGAGAAACATAGTGGACAATATTTGTGTGAAGACCAAAAGAACAGAAAAAATTTTGTAATCCGAGACCACCTGGACAAAAAGGAGCTAGAGAAGGGATTTGGGAAACAGAGCACATGGTGGTAAAGGGACACAGCACAACAGTAATGGGATATTCCAATCACCCAAACATCTGCTGGAACCCTCTCTGCCAAAAGCAGGGCAGCAAATAACTTCTTGACTTCACTTAATAATTTCAAAAGGTAGAGGAGCCAAAAAGAGGAAAATCTCTAGTGGACCTTATTATTATCTCATTATCCTTCCCCGTAGCAACTCCCCAACCCTCCTCCAAACTGCTTTTACTGTTGAGGGCATCCCTGTCCTGCTGGTTTCCAACCTCGAAGTCATCCTCGACTACTCACTCTCTCTCACTCCCCACATCCAAGCTGGTGCCAAGGCTTACTTCAATAAATATGTATTAAGCACCTACCATGTACCAGGCACTGTGCTAAGCACTGAGGGTACAAAGAAAGGCAAAAAACAGTCCCTGTCCTCAAGGAGCTCACAATTAAGGCCTGGTGATTTCACCTCTGCAGCATCTCTCCTACATGCCCCCTTCTATCGTCTGACACTATCCCTACCCTTGTTCGGGCAGTCATCACCTCACACCTGGACTATTACAATAGCCTGCTTGGGGGTGGGAGGTGGGGTCTGCCTCACTCTTGTCTCTCCCTAATCCACTCTATCCTCCACTCAGCCACTAAATCGATTTTCCTTAAGCTCAGGTCTGACTATGTCACCCTGCCCACCCCCATTCAAGAAACTCCAGTGGCTCCCTATTCCTCCAGAATTAAAGACAAAATGTTCTGTTCGGCATTCAAAGCTCTTCATAACCTGCCCCCTCCTACCTTTCCAGTCTTCTTACACCTTACTCCCCAACACATACTTCTTTGATCCAACACTGGCCTCCTGGCTTTTCCATGAACAAGGCCTGCCATCTCTGGGTGCCAGGCATTCTTCTCAACTGTCTCCCCTGACTGGAACACTTTCTGCCCTCCACTCTGACTACTAACCTCTCTGGTTTTCTTTAAGTCTCAAGTAAAATCCCACCTTCCCACAGGAAGCTTCCCCCAACCCCCCTTAATGCTAGTGCTTTCCCTCTGTTATTTTCTATTTATCTTGTACATAACTTGATTGTACATATTTGTTTTTGTTGTCTCCCCATTAGAGTGTGAGCTCCTTGAGGGCAGGGACTATCTTTTGCCTCTTTTTGTAACCCTAGCACTTAGTACAGTGTCTGGCACACAGTAGGCACTTAATAGTAATAGCTACAACTGGCTGTTGGGGTGGTCCACATCAATCATAAGAACAGGAAGATGTGGTTGCTAAAATGCTATCCATGAAGTCTGAAAGAGCATAGAAAATGGGAGAAGCACTGCATAACTGAAGAAAGGCAAATGTCCCAATTTTCCAAAAAGGTAAGAGAACTAGCTGTGTGACCCTGGGCAAGTCACTTAACCCCAAATGCCTAAAAACAAAAAACAAAAAATAAAAAATAAAAACAAAAAGATAAGAGAACAAAACATGCAAAAAACATGCCAGTGAACTTAACTCCCATTCCTGTGGAAATTTTCCCACAGGTCTCTAAAGAAAGGCTTAGTGAACATCTACACATGGCATGGGGGAGTAGGGGGATACAAAAAGCCAGCATCAAGGCCTTTTTTTTGACAGTTATGAGACTGATTGATCAGGAGGATACTATAGGTTTTAACAAAGAGTTTTAAAAAATATCTCCTGCTACTCTTGTGGAAAAGGTGGAAGTACACGAATTAGATGACAATGTAGGAAGACAGATTTGGAACTGGCTCAACGGACAGACTCAGTCTACTGAAGGTGATGCCAACTTGGCAGGCTATCAGCAGCAGAGTGGGCCAGAACTGTGTTTGGCCTGTGTTGTTAAACTGAATTTTAGGCCCCTAGGTGGCGCAGGGCATAAAGCACTGGATTTGGAGTCAGGGAAGACCCAAGTTGGAATTCCATGATGATTCCTCAGCTGTGCGATCTCAGGCATGTCACTTAACTTTCCAACCTCTCAGTTTCTTTAACTGTAAAATGGGGATAATAACAGCACCTGCCTCCAAGGATTGTGTGAAGATCAAATCAGACAATATGTGTAAAGTGCTTCACAAACTTTAAAAACGTTAGCTATTGGCGTAGCTAGGTGGCGCAGTGGATAGAGCACCAGCCCTGAAGTCAGGAGGAACTGAGTTCAAATCTGGCCTCAGTCCAAACACTTGACACTTACTATCTGTGTGACCCTGGGAAAGTCACTTAACCCCAATTGCCTAAAAATTAAAAAAAAATAAAATGCTAGCTATGATTATCATTATCAATGACTTAGACAAAAGATGGCATGTGCATGAAATGTACAAATCACTCCAAGGAAAACTGCATTTGGGGCACCTATTTAACATGAACATTATTAAGATGAAAGGCAATCAGGATAATGAAAGGCCTAGGGTCTCCCCATCCTATAAGGATAGTCTGAAAGAATTAGGAATGCTTAGCCTGAAGGAAAAAAGCCTGAGGAGCAGAGGGGCAGGGAAGATAGCTGAGCTCAGGAAGAGAGATTCTACTGGGCTTTATTTGGCCCTAAAGAGCAGAAGCAGGCTCAGTGTCAGGAAAAATTTCCTATCAATTACAGCTGCCCCAGGAAGTCAACAAGTATTTATTAAATGCCTATGTGCCTGGTCCTGTGCTAAGTGTCCAAAGTGGTGGGTTTCCCCTCACTGGAGGTCTTCAAACTGAGGCTGGATGACCACCTGTCAGCTATATTAGACTGAGGATTTCTACTGGACAGGGAGGGAACTAGATGGCTCCTGAGGCCCCTTCCAACTGTCAAATTCTGTGGGCAAACTTTATATAGAGTCCAAAGCATACTTAAATTATATAGCCAGTCATTTTCAATCAATTAATCAATAAACATTTATTAATCACCTACTATATGCCAAGTACATAGTTATGTGGAAGCAGCTAGGTGGCTCAGTGCATACATAGAGTGCTGGGTCTGGAGTCAAGAAGCCTTTTGTTCAGTAATTTTTCAGTCATGTCCAACTCTCCATTACCCAATTTGGGGTTTTCTTGGCAAAGACACTGGGGCAGTTTGCCATTTCCTTGTCCAGCTCATTTTACAGATGAGAAAAGGGAGGCAAGTCACTTAACTTCTGTTTGTCTTAATCCACTGGAGAAAGAAATGGCAAACCATTCCAGTATCCTTGCCAAGAAGACCCCATGGAGAAGAGTAGGACATAAGTGAACAACAATGAGACAGGCACCATGATACAAAAAGAGGCAAAAGACAGTCTCTGCCCTCAAGGACCTTACAGTCTAGTGGGGAATGTCCTTTCCAGCTCTAAACCTGTATCAGTGTGGAAAGATGAAGTGGAAAGGGTAATAATTAATAGCAGCTAACATGTATATAGTGCTTACTATATGCAGGTCACAGCTCTAAGGGCTTTACAATTATTATGTCCTTTGATCTTCACAACAACCCCAGGAAGTAGGTGCTATTATTACCCTCATTTTACAGACAAGCCAAATGGAAGTTAAGTGACATGCCTTGAGTCACACACTAGCAAGCATCTAGGGAGGAATCTGAACTCAGGTTTTCCAGACTCTCCAGATCCAGGGCCACTTTGATGACTCCAGAGAAGGGTGCCTCTAGTGTCACAGCTCCATCCCGTTACTACGGTCAGTAATAATAAGAGCTAACATTTACATACAACTTGACACATGTTGTGGCACCTGAGCCTCAAAACAAACTTGGGAGGTAGGGCCCATTATTGTCATACATTTTACAGATGAGAAAGGTAAAACAGAAGAGGTTCGTGAACATTCCTGGACTCACACAACTAAGATGTGTAGGAGAAAGATTTGTCCTTAGGTATTTCTAACTCTAATCTCAGAGCTCTATCCACTCTACCGTTAAGTGGGAATCCCCTCAGACGTCTAGAAAGATGGTGGCAAAAAGAAACCCACTCTTTTCCTCCACATTCTCCCCCCTCCACAATTAGGAAGAATGACTGAGCCTCCACGCGGGGGAGGAGAGAGGAGAGGCATTGGGGCAAAGGGGAGTGAGTCAGTCATGCCGGAGGCATCTGCAAAACCTCTCACAGGAGCCGAGGATCAGAGACAGTGAGTAAGGCTGAACACGCCCGAGCAGCGTGAACGCGAAGGCGCCCGGAAGGGCGAGCTAGGCCACCAGAGCCGCCGCGGAAGGGGCTGGGGGGAGGAGAGAAGAGGGGCGGGGCGGGCCCGCCGGAGACCCAGGGGCGGGGCCAGGGGTCCGGACTCACCCCGGAGGCCTGAAACTTGGGCCTTCAGGCTTCAACTTCGGCCCCGCCAGGGCCCGGGGAGCCCGCGGCCTCTCCGGGCGCCAGGCCCGGCCGGGCCGAGCCTAAGTCCACGCCACGGACGCAGCGGCGCAGACAACACCGAAGGTAGCGACGGAGACCTCACCAACAATCACCAGCTCAAGTCCTAGCCGACGACTCCGAAGCCCGGACTCTGCAGGAACTCCTCCCCACCCAACACCCACTTCCGGGTTGTGAGGTTATGCGACAACCCGGAAGAGCAAAAGTGATAGCTTCAGAATCCCTCAGTCTGTCTCCGCCCTTCCTCTGGATGTCTCCAATCCCCAAGAGTGAGGACTGAACCAATAATGCCTTTGACGGGCGGGGGGCGGGGGGAATTTAACCTGCGCTTCCCGTTCCTGTCGTAGGAAGAAATCCCACGCACTAAGCTACTTTATAGAGCATCTACTTCCTCCTTCTATATTCGGAATGATCTCTTCTGTCACCTTTCTGTGCACTTTACCAGCTCCTCCCTCCCCCCCCCAGTCCGGCATCAGGAAAGGAGGAGTCAAGAGGAGGCTAGGAGGGGCGGAGTTCTTGAAAAAAATAATCAAAGGGGCGGAGCTTCCGGCTAGAGGTGGGGGACCTTTACTTGGAGAGAAGAACCGGGAGGTGTGGCTTAAGAGTGTGGCCTGAGAGGGGCGTGACCCTCGACAGCTCGGGAGGCGGAAGCTGCGAGCCCGGCAAGGCCACGTGGGGGTGGTAGCGTGCGACCTGGCTGAGGAGGCGGTCTGGCCCCGGGCTGAAGAGCTGAGGTGCAGTCCGCGAGGTCTGGATCGGAGCCAAATACGGGTCAAGGCGGAGGCGGAGCCTGGGCCCAGCGGGCGGGCTCCCAGACCGGCGGGGCCGGGCCAGGCCAAGCCAGGGGGCGGAGATGGGGAGTCGGGCGAGTGGAGCCGATCTGTGCTCGAGCAGACGAGGCTTTAACCCGAGTTCAGCCGCGGGCCCCGTCGTCGCCCTTCCTCTACCGGATCAGCAGCAGACACAGAACCCAGAGGCGAACACTGGTGAGGAAGCCACCCCCCCCCAAGGGGCCACCGCTGAGCCCCAACCTCCTCCATCCTCAGGCGCCTCCGCCACCGCCCTGCATCCTGGCCCCAATCCTGAGCTCTCCATCCCAATAGCCTTTTTCTTGAGTCTCTCTGAAGTTCCCACCTTCCCCTTAGTCAGGGCCTCACTATCCACAGGCTTTTTGATCCTCTTTCCCCAAGCATCCTCCTGTTTAGGAGGCTGTTTCTGCATTGATTGATTGCCTTCCTGTTCAGATATGGTATTATACTCCTTTCCCATCTCAGCCCTGGCCAGTCTTTTCTGTCCCCTGTAGGGGGCTTTAGCTTAGTGATGTGATCATCCTGACTCTTGAAAATACTTAGCCTTCTCTTCCTGCTTTCTGCTTCTTCTACCTACCAGGGAGAAACTCTAACCCTTCAGAGCCATCTGCTGAGGTAGATCAGATTCCACTAAGGTCCTAGTGAAGTTGAAGCAAGCCCCAACAGGTAGCAACCATGGAACCTGTGTCAGGGGGCAGGCTGAACTGCAGCTAACTGGATTCGGACCCTGGTGGTGGCACAACCCCTTTCAGGGAAGGTTGTCTTTTTGCTCTCGGTTCTTCCTTGAGACCTTTTAAAAACAAAACAATCACACACATGCAATAGTCTTCTTCCACTGGCCAGTGCCATGCTGATAAAGATGCAAGATAATGTTGCATCCGGAGAATTTTCCAAAGTAGTGACTGTGGGGACTAGGACAGGCCAGTTTTAGAAATAGGAGAGGCATCAGAAAAGGCCAAAGAGAAAAAACATTTTGTGCTTGATTATATGGCAAGAAATATCCAAGCTGGATGGAAATTTACAGATTTAGCCAGTCTAGCTACCTTAGAAGAGAAGCAATTTTAAATTCCAAGAGAAATAAACTTGTTTAGGGTCACAGACTATGACTAAGTCCGGACTAGGACCCATCATCTTCAAAGCCAGAGGATAAAGGAGCTAATTAGTATTCTACTCTGAGACTGGGACCCATTATCTTCAAAGCAGAAGATCAGTGAATTAATTAATGTTCCTGCTTAGGTCCCGATTTTCTAGTCTAGATTAACCCACACCTGTGCTCCTGCCCCTCAATCTAGGAAGACCTTGAACTAGAATCCTCAGATTGGAGGCTCCAGCTTGAACTCATTCTCCAAACATCCACTTTGGAAAGGAGGAAGAGACAGGTGGGAGAACAATTCTATCCCCAGGCTTGGCCCGTGGGTTTCATGACCAAACCTAGGATGTTTAAAATGGTCTTCATTGGTACAAAATATCACTGCTGGGAAGAGTCCTCAAGACGCTCTCAAGGCATCAAAAACCTAAGATTTTTTTATCCTTGAAAAAATCTGAGGGAACTCTTCTCCTAAACTTGGAACTGGTAATTGCTTCCTGCAAACACCACTTGAAACCTGGTCAGCCTGGGGAGTTCACTTGTCCCTTTTAAGGGGAGGGGCAATGACCTTCCACTTATCTCTTACTCTCAGAGTAAGAGCTCCCTCTCAGTCCTGCCTTCCTTCTTTCATTCATCTAGAAAACAGCATGTCGGAGCAAGTAGCCTTGAGCCGGACTCAGGTGTGTGGGATTCTCCGGGAAGAGCTGTACCAGGGTGATGCCTTCCACCAGTCAGACACACACATATTCATCATTATGGGAGCCTCGGTGAGTCTGGAGTCCCCACACCATCCTCCCACCTCTTGCCTGGACACAAAATGGTGTATGTAACATAAATGTGGCCTTTCAAAACAGGAAGGAACCTTAGAGGTCATCTGGACAGATCATTTAGGCACTCTGGGCCTTAGTTTCCTCTTCTGTAATATGAAAGAGCTTGGACTAACCCACATCCAGCTCCAAATTCTGTGATCCTAGTCTGAGCTTTTTAAAAGCCCAGAGAGGTGAGGTAACATTCTCCCAGTGACTCCAAAGGCCCAGTTCCTCCTGTTCTTCAGGCCTTCTGCTCATGGTTATTTCCATGCTACCTTGTTTCTCCAGATTTCGTGTCCTGGGGTCAGGGCAGTGATTATCACCCTCCTTTTATAGACGAGGAAAATAAAACCCAAAGAGCTAAAGCAATTTTTTTCCCTGCCTGGTGTCAGGAGCAAGTTAGTGGTAGTCAAGTTTCCAGCTTCCCAGGCTAGAGCTTTTTTTTTTTCCTCCCTCAAAATCAGGGTGGAGAGGGCAGCCTGTATGGAGGTTGATAAAGGGAGGGCCACTCCTTAAGGCTGGTGAGAATTTCTTAAGAACGAATGGTGTAGGAAAGGTCATGGGTCATTCTTGCTTATCTGCTGATTGATTATCTTTCTTATCTTTTTTATTTCTTTATCTAACCTGACTTAGTCATCTCCAGGCCTGGTTTGAATAGACTGATAAGGGGCTTCTTTGGGCCCCTTAGGGTTACCAAATACTCCACTCTTTCCCTCTGACCGAGCCCTGTGGCCCCAGTGATGTTTGAAGCCCTTCAAGGGAATGTCATCAAAGGCATGGTTTTCAGATCACAGTTAATTTCAATTTCGGTTTTGGTTGGTGTTGGTTTGTTTCTGGGGTGCTGGAAGGAATAGTGTTCTAAATTAACTGATTTGAGACTTGGAAGGAAAGCTTCACCCCTCCTCCAGAGGTTAGAGGCCCCTGTCCCCCAGTGCCCTCTTTACCAAGTACAGCCTGGCCAAGTTGCATTTAGAATTCAGGGTTTGGGCCTAAACTTGCACTTATCAGCCCAGACCTGCTCTAGGATCATTTGCTCTTCAAGTTTGGTAATGCCAGTTGGCATTTGGAGAGTGCTGCAAGGTTTGCCAAGCGCTGTTCTACCTTTGGCAGTGCTTCTGTGGGCCTCCTAACAATGCTGGCATTTCTGGTTGAGAAGGGAGCCTCTAACCTCTGATCCCAGAGCTGAGTAGTAAAGTCCTGAGGTGGAATTCAAACTCAGCTCTTTCCAAACCTAATCCTTCCTTTACAAGTGGTGTATCTCTTCAGCTCTGCCAATCTCCCAGGGACATTGGATCAGATGTAGAGAGTGCTTTGCCAGCCTTCAAGCATTATAGAAATGAGAGCTCTTCACTTGATCAGGCACGCTTGGACAAATCACTTCTCAATGGCTTCCGTTTCTGCCTCTGTCCAAAGGAAGGGCCTAGACTAAATGCAGTTGAGTCAAGTTATTGGGTGCTTGCTATGTATGGCTCTCCTGCTTCCCACACGGTGATGCAGCAGAATGCTGGGAGTCAGCCAGGGTGTTGGGGATGTTATACTCTAAATGACAGAGTGGCCTGGGGAATGGTGCTTCCTGAGAGCCATCTGTAGCTTATGGAGGGTACAGAGAGTGGAATGAGCTAGCAGAAGAGGGCAAGAGCAAAGAGAAGCCTTTCCTTCTCTCTCCCTGGCTTTCACCACACCCTTCTTGGCTTCCAGTACCTCCTTTGAGATAGGTCACTGTTTCCCAACCTTTGTCAGCCCAGGGTCTTGCTATCTACTGGCCCATTTCATATAAGTAAAATAACATTGTATAGATGGGAACCTCTGTAGTCCCAAAGGAATCCACTGAAAGCTCTCCGAGCAGCCCCAAAAGATCTCTTAAAGTTTATGCCCACAACTTTCCACTCCCAGGAGTGCTTTCATTCAAGGCTGCTTCAATTCTTCAGTCAACCAAGCAGTTATTAAGAGTCTATAGGATGTCAGACATATAGGGAATACGAGGGCAAAAGAGAACCAGTCCCTGTTCCCAGGGAGTTTAGGTGTGGGAAGACTCTGTGTGTGTGTGTGTGTGTGTGTGTGTGTGTACTGAATAAATACAAGGCAGTATAGGAAGGGGGGACCCTAAAAGTTGCGGGGATCAGGAAGGGATCCATGTAGAAGATGGTGTTTGGGCTGAGGCTTAAAGAAAGTAGAGAGTTCAACACAAAATATCTACAAGTCATTCATTATTGAGAAGGTGTGCCCAGGGCTAATATGATTGAAGGAGGGGTCCAGGGGATACCATGAAAGGGGAGGAAAAAGGAGACTAGAGACAGACACAGAAAGGATGGAACTCAAATGGATGATAGGAAGGAGCTGAGAGTGCCCTGATAAGCCTCAGGCTCAGAATCCCAGGATTCTGAGGGGACCTTTAGCTCTCTATGTGGCTGCCTTGTCCCTCCTTTTTGTTTTTGTAAA